GCCGAGCGCGCGGAGAGGGGCGAGCTCCCTATGTCCGCCCCTCCCCCGGCCCCGCACGTGAGACCCACCTATGGCGTCCAGCCAGCCGGGTTCCCGTCCTCCCACCCCGGGCCCCGTGTCCCTCGGGCCTCCCTCGGCAAGCGGGGCATGCACCTGAACGGGGAGGAAAGGTCCCTCCCCCCGTCGAGTTTCGGGCTGAGCTTGTGCACCCGGCGTTGTTCAGCAATAGTGAAAAACGTGTCTTTCCTCTCCCTGTGTAGCCTCAACGGTGTGCCAGTGGCTTATGATCATATCAGAGTAGTGGGGGAATTGGGTGACATCTATGATGACCAAGGATTCATCCATTTTAACATTGAAGCAGATTTTGTCATTTTCACGCCGAAGAAAGGGAAAAAGCTTGTGGTATGTAAAAACGCTTCTATTTTTATGTATATTTTTAATAAGTAAATCTTAATGTAACTATTAAGTAGATTGAACAACTGAATTTAAAGAGGTACTGTTATGGTTGGTAGACAAATACTGAACTACTTTGCCTCTGTTCTTGAATCTGTTTTTCCTGCTAAATTACCATTTGTAAGTACAGTACACTTCTGATAATCTGGCACCTTTGGGACCTAGGTGGTGCTGGATTATCAAATATGCTGTAATACCAGGAGGTTCTAAAAGGGGGCATACTCCCAACCCAATGCCCATTCCCTCCCCCCCCACACACACACCTTATGCTCAGGAGCTGCTGGTACAGCCACGCATCTCCCTCCAGGTGTTGGGGCACATGCACTGAGCGGCCGGCTTTTCAATGAGCTGGCCATAACACCGTGCACAACCCAGTCCCCGTCCCCTTTTCTTCCTCAGAGCCAAACACCTCCCTTCCCTGCTGTCATCCAATGCCCCTTCTCCTCCAACCTTATGTCTGGGTACCGAAGCAGCTGCCTGTGCTCAGCAGCCGTCTGCTAGCACGTGCAGGTTGGACGCTGTGTGTGCTGGGGACCATGAGTGGAACAGTGAGGGTCACAGCGGCCTGGCCGTGAGAGTGGCTGACCTGAGCAGTTCTGACTCCAGTTGATGCCGAACTGTCAGGAGTGCCGAACTATCAGGAGTTCCAGACTAATGGAGTTTTACTGTATAACGTATGTAGCAGTGCGAATCCCACAATATCAGAGACACAAGGTGAATGATAGTATCCTTTTCAGGTCAGTTTCTGCTGTTGAGATAAGATTTCAAGCTACAGTAAAACTCCAATAGTCCGGCACTCCTGATAGTCCGGCATCAAAATGGCAAGAGCCTAGTGACTGAGCTTCGGCAAAAAATGAGTCACAAGGTAACAGCGGCGGCAGCTAAACTGATTGAAAAGGGTAAAAAGGGGTTAAAAAAACTAAAACACTACAGTATACCGTATACAGTATGTACAATAAAAAGAGTTAAGAACACTTTATATACAGTATATAATATATACAGTATATACATAACCAGTGTATAGTACCTCCTGATACTCCGGCATATTTGATAATCCGGCACCACCTAGGTCCCATAGGTTCCGGATTATTGGAAGTCTACTGTATATGGCTCTTAAGGTCTAGAAAAAGTTACAGTTAAATACAGGGTAAAACACAGTTCAGCATAAATAGTTGTGATAGGACCCATGGATCTTGAAAACATCTAGAAGAAATATTTCCTTAGCCTTCTTTTCTGAAGTTCAGTCTGCTCTGTGCTCATTGTCAGAAGCAAGTCTGCACAGACCTGCACCAAACATTGCCAGAATAACAGATGTAAATCCTGCAGCCATATCTCCACTGCTACAACGGTCAACACCCATCACAACTCACCTTTCAAGATCCAAGACCTTACTCGGGCCTATCACAAATAGGGATGTGAGTGGTTAACTGGTAAGCATCACCCTTAGCAAGTGATGCTTACTGATTATGGTTAACTGGTGGGGGCTGGAGCAGCCCCCATCTGCCAATGGCCTGGCTTGGGCTCGCTGCATGCAGGGGAGCTCCAGCCTGGCGGGAGCAGCCCCCAGTTGTGTCGGAGGGGGGCCACTGAAGCCCAGCTGCAGAAGACAGGGGTGCATCCCGTTTAATCAGTTAACTGGTTACATTTAACTGGTTAACTAAGTCAATAGGATTTTACATTCCTAATCACAACATGTGCTGTACTTCGTCCAGTGCACTCATTGACCCTATTAGAACGATGTGGGTGAAGGCAGTCACTATGGTCTAAAACCGTAGTCACCAACCAGTAGATCTTGGGGCCTTTCACAGGTGATCCTGACAGGTTTGGTTAGGAGGCAGTCAAATACCAGCACTTCATCTGCCCCTCTCAGGGGGCCTTTCACAGGTGATCCTGACAGGTTTGGTTAGGAGGCAGTCAAATACCAGCACTTCATCTGCCCCTCTCAGGACTACCGTGCTGCTCCTGCCCTCTGCCTTGGAGCTGTCCCCCATCCCTGGGAGCCGCTTGTTGTGCAGAGCACAGGGTGCTGATGTCAGGGTGCTCCTCCCTGTACCCTGCGGGGGGGGGCAGGGATGGAGAGAGTTCGCTGGCTGCTTTTGGGAGTGGTGCTGGGCCAGGGTATGGGTGAGCCTGCCTTAGCCCCAGGCACCACCACCCAGGAGCCACCTGTGGTAGGCGATGCCCAGCTGGAGCCTGCATTCAGAAGCCCGGCTCCAGTCCTGAAACCCTACACCCCAGACCTTTGCCCTAGCCCTGACTCCCCCTGCACTCAAACTTCCTCCCAGAGTCTGCACCTCAGCTCCCTGCCCCAGGCTCAGCCCCTCCCTCATCCAGATCCTTTAGCCCAAGATCAGTGTCCACATCCCCCTACCCTGTACTCCAGATCTCTGCCCCCAGCCTAATAAAAGTGGGTGAGGGAGGGAGGATGGAGTGAGCACAGGGACGGGGCCTCGGAGAAGGGGTGGAAAGGAGGCAGGTCAAGCGTATTTGGGTTTGAGGTAGATCCTGGATTGCACTTAAATTCAAAAAGTGATCTAATGCTTACAAAGGTTGGAGACCACTCTTTTAGAATTAACTCTCACAGGAAAAAACCAAAACATCACATCATCTGTGAGTGAACACTTTTCATAAACCAGTCATTCTGTAGGTGACCTATCCATCCTCATCCTCAAAGGAAACTTGCATTGCACTTTCCACCAAAAACCTAGGAACTCAAATTTATAACTTTGCTAGACACTAAAAATCATGGTCTTAATAAAGACTGGATTTATGGTTTATTACAGCTGTCTGTAAACCTGTTTTTTGTCCTATGATTGCTGGGGTGCTAATAGGCCACTTCACCTTAAATGGTCTCGTATGATACATGCTACCTACTTCTGCTGAACTATCTGTTGAATCTTGTATTTAGTTGTGACAGTTATAGTATTTTCCCCAGATGTGAAGAGAATCTCTGAGCAGGTCTACACTTAAAACTGCACTTATGCAGCTGCATCACTGTCACCTTAAGTCAGGATTTCCCAACCTATGATTCGGGACCCAAATATGAGTCGCCATTACATTTCAAAAGGGTCGCCAGGTGTCTCCTCGGTTGGCTCTTATGGAGCCATTCACACATTTTTTGAATTGCCCTGGGTCACCAAGTCTTCCTGAATTGTCAAAATGGGTCCCCATCTGTAAAAGGTTGGGAACCGCTAACTTAAGTGAAGACCCTCCTATGCCAATGGGAGAAACTGTCCTGTCAACATAGTGCTGCCACACTGGGAATTAGTTAAGCATAGCTGTGTCTCTGATGTATATTTTTCACACCCCTGAATGATGTAGTTATGTTGATATAAGCCTGTAGTGTAGACTTAGCATCTGTGTAGCTCAAAAGCTTGTTTCACCAACAGACTCACCAGGCAGATGAAAGGTGCTGGCTGGGGGCACGCTGCGCCTGTCTAAGACTTCCCCAGCTCTGAGTCTCTTACTTCCCAGGTGAACTTTAGGGAGGGTAGATGGGGCCTGTAGCTCCCTTCCCGCCATTCAAATGGAATCATTATTGGCTGTTCCCCTTCATCAGGGAGTGAGAGAAAAGGGCACAGTTTGCTGCATTCCTCACTCTGGCTGGCGAGCCTAGGAGGCAGATGAACATGCATCTCTCCCCCTGCTGTGTCTGCTGGAGCTACAGCAGCCACAGAGAGGGGCTTCTCACCTGCCCCTTAGCTGCTGTGGTGAGAAAAGGCTGAGCTAGTCCTCTCTCCCTGGGGCAGCCTGCATACTGAACCTCTCAACTTGACCCCAGAGCAGTGATTCAAATGAAGCTTGTACATTTTCACTTTATTTTCCAAAAACCAAAAATTAAGTTAAGTACCTTAGTGTAATGCTAGGTAAATCTTCTAGTAGTTTATTAACATTGTGTTCTACCTTTGATAGTTTTGATAGTCTACTTCATGAATTTTAATGATAAAGATACAATCTTACAGAACATAGGAAAAATTCTGCTCTTAGGCCACTGTACATATCAATGGGGAGATTATGTAGAGCAAAGATTCTCAATCTGTTTACAACTGTAGGCCCCATATGCAGCTCTCTGTTATGGGGCCAGCATCCATTTAATATATGTATACCTGAATATTTATCAAAAAAATTCAATTAGTATTTATCATCACAGCAGTATAATAGCATCCTTCATTTCAAGCCTAAAATAAGTCAAACATCAATTGTTGAAGTTATTAATTAATTGTAAGAGTGACATGGTGTATTGCCATCCTCACTTCTGCTCTGCTGCTGGCAATGTGACTGGGCTGAATGCCCAGAGAGGATAGGTGCAGATCCTGCCTTCAAAGATGGAAAGCTCTGTCTAATTTGGAGTGCCCCCCCAATCTTTCTCCAGACTGCCCCCCACATCACCTATGCTTATTGGGACTGTTACCCCAGAATCCATTTCCCACCCACAGCATTAGGCTGGCACACATCTGCTCTAGAGAGACTGGGTACTAGGGATGTTAGATATCATGTAATTGAATAGTCGTGTAACTGCATGAATTCTTATCAGCCTGGGGAGCCACCTGTGACCCCACACTGCTGCCTCTGTACCAGAGAGAGCAGCATGGAGTGGCAGGCAGGAGCTGGTCCCTGAGGGGATCCAGTCTAAAACCCAGACTAGCTGCCTGCTGCCTCCATGCTGCTGCCTCTGCCTCCTAACAGATGTAGGGATGTAAAATTTCAATTATTTGGCTAATCGAATTGTCAATGCAATTTGCATTGTCTACTTGATTAGTCAATAAGGGCAATTCCTCCTTTGAAGTGTAGCAACAACCCCAGGGCTGGTCCCAGCTGACCCTGGATTGCACACGGCATTTCTAAGCGACAGCACCACATGCAGCCCGGGTCTGGCCCCACGCTCCAAGCAGCACTGCTGCTTTGAAGCATCTGTTCCTCTTTCCCCTCTCCTTGCTGTGTCTTTCTGGGGCAAGCGACTAGTCTGTCGACTGTCCAATTACCATTTGGAAGAACGCTTGTGTAGCTGTGTTATGTTAATGGAGAGAGCTCTCCTGTCAACAACATAAAACCAGCTCAACAAGTGGTGGTAGCTGTGTGGCTAGGAGAATATCTCCCAGCGACATAGATCTGTCTTCACCAGTGGATATTTTTGGTTAAACTTATATCATTGAAGGAGTGTCTTTTTCACACTCCTGACTAGGGATGTTAAGGAGTAGTCAGTTAAAGGGTTACCTGGTAAGCATTACTCTTAGCAGGTGATGCTTATGGGTAATAATTAACTGGTACCTAGGAGTAGCCTCCCCACCCATGGCAGCCCCAGACTTGCCGAGTCTGCACGTGCCGCTGTTAGCTCCCAGCCTACGCAGTCTGGAAGCCAGAGGAGTGGCAGGGGAAGCCGGCGCGGGCGCTGTGCCAGCCTCTGCCTGTGGTGGGGGGCTGTCCTAGCCCAACCCCCACAGGTTGGGGGGGTGCTTCAGCCTGGCTGCAGTGCCCCGTCCACCCCACATCCTCTTTTTTTGGTTAAACACAGTGGCAGCATTGCGTTTATCCATTTAACCAATTAAATGGGATTGTATAACCCTGCTGCTGAGTGATAAGACTTTTGCTGACATAAGTACTCTAGTGTAGGCTTAATTCTGTATTTTTAATTTTAAATACTTAGCAACAGTTTTTAAAATGTGACTTCCATTTGTACAAGTACTAAACCCATTTATCATATTCTATGTGTGAACTTTCTTATTTACAATAATCTTCACAAAAATTTACAGGATGTGCAAAAATGAATCTCTTAATGTTGTGAACCTTAAATGTAGTATAGTCTTACACGGTTTTCTTTTCTTTTCCAGGGTGTGATCAATAAAGTGGCCCCTAGCCATATTGGCTGTCTGATACATGGGTGTTTCAATGCTTCCATCCCTAAACCTAATCAAATGTCAGCTGTAGAGTGGCAAGATCTTGGGTTAAAAACAGGAGATAAGCTGGAATTTGAAGTATTGCATTTAGATTCTGATGCTGCTGGAGTGTTTTTCATTCGGGGAAGACTGAATAAAGACAGGTACAGTGCTGTATTAGAGGATTTTTTTCAGGCTGAGCTGATTTAGTTGATTTATTTAAAAATATAAAGCTTAAAATCAGTGTATTGTCATAACTCATATTTTTTCCCATGTGAGAGATTTATAGCTATATAGAAAGCATATTCTATTAGATTAGATTTTAAAATCTGTTGTTAAAGTACCCATGCAGGGTCCGACCAATTGTCCATTTATCCCATTCTCCTGTGTAATGGGCCTGTGTAATGTAGTGTCATGTTTCTGAGAGAATGAACAGAACAGGGCAATTTTGAGTGACCTATCCCTTGGCATCCACTCCTGGCTTCTGATAGTTGGACATTTAAGGGCATCTTCTGGACTTCACAACCTCCCATAACAAGTTTCACAGGCTGACTATTAGCCATGTATAAAGTGCGTCCTTACATATTAAACTTGTTGTCTATTAATTTAATTAGGTGGTCCTGGTTTTTGTATTACGTGAACTGGTAAATACTACCTTCCTATTCACTTTCTCCATACCATTCATGATTTTATAGCCCTCTATCAGATCCTGCACATAGTCATATTTTCTAATTAGAGTAGAGTCTCTCTAGTGTTTCTTCTTATGAAAACTGTTCCATACCCCTAATAATTGTTGTTACTTTTCTATGAATCTTTTACAATTCTAGTATATCTTTTTTTGAGATGAAGCAACTAGAACTTCATGCAGTATTCAAGGTGTGAGCAAATCATGGGTTTATATAGTGGCATTATATTTTGTGATTTGTGTTCCTTTCCTAATGGTTCCTAATGTTTTGTTAGCTTTTTGGACTAGGGATGTAAGCGACTAGTCGTCTATCCGATAAGCAGGGCTTGACAAACAATGTAATCTACTCGCCACAGGCGAGTAGATTACATCCCGGAAGAGCCAGCGCAGAGCGCAGAACTGCGCAGTTGGCAAGCAGGGCTCGCCGCCGCTCGGCAAGCCCTGCCGATAAGCATATGCATATGGATTCTCTGGTCTAGCAGCATATGTTTATCAGATAGTTGAATAGTGACTCAGCCCCCCCATCCCTTGCTGTCTCTATCAGAGAGAGGTAGTGAAGGGGAAGCAGGAGCCAGGGCTAGGGGGAGCCAGCTTAAAAGCCAGTTCCCCCCCCCAGCACCATCTCTGAGGGGGACAGGATAGGCAGAGGCATAGCAGGGACTGAAGGCAGAACCACAGGAGCTAACTCTGCTGCAGCTCCACAGTTTCCCCTGCTTATCGACTAGTAGATGGAAGTTGATTAAAAACACTTTAACATCCCTATTTTGGTCTGTTGCTGCACTTAGAGCAAATATTTTCAGAGAACTATCCATGTTGACTCCAAAATCTTTTTTTTTTTTTTTTTTTTGTGAACAGCTAATGTAGACCCCCTAATTTTTTGTATGTTGTTGGGATTATTTTTTCCAATGTGCATTACTTTCATCTTCCATTTTGTTGCATGGTCTCCCAGCTCTGTAGGGTCCTTTTTAGTTAGTTTTGGACATAACTGTTTTGAGTAATATGGTATCTTTTGCAACTTTTGCCACTTCACTGTTTATTCCTTTTCCAGATCATGTGTAAATATGTTAAAACAACACAGACCCCATTCCAGGTCTATGGTGGTCTGATGATTTATTTACTATTTTTCATGTTTGGAGACTATGTAAAAGTAGATTAATCCAAAATGTTAAAAATATTTTTTAAAATCAAAGGTTTTCAATGTAAGTAATGTGACCTGCATATCACTCACTACGTGCAATTATAAAATGTCTTGTATGATGTCCAGATTGATTTATAAACAATATTTATGTGCAGTATGAGTTTTTAAGTTTATCATGGTTATAAATCATTTACCTAAACTGACCAGAGATAATCTGATCTGTCAGGTAAAAACATATTTCACCTTCTATAAATATTATTTTTTGAGCAATTTTTCAAAGCAGATTTTCATGGTTTAACATTTGTACTCATAGGAAAACTTACTTGGATTCAGAGCCAGGGAAGTTCAGCATGCAGTTTTGTATTTAGTACTTTTTTTATAAATATTACTTCATAACTTCAGCAGGTGCCTTGTAGATAGACTATGTGGAATTTGAAAAAAGTAATTGTCTCTAGGCATCTTCATAACTACATTTGCAACTGTTGTATTTGGATTCTGAAGTTTCATTAATTCACTTTTTCATCAATATGGTTTCTCCCTTATCTTATAAGCATAGTGGTCTCTTCTTGACTACAGAAGTAGTGATTTAAAGTATTAGGTTATAACTTGTCAGGTATATTAAATTCCTCGAGGATGAAAGCTTGATAGTTTAGCTTCATTCCCATGGCAGATAGTGAGTCAGAAGAATTAAGCATATCCTGTGTTACCTAATACTGATCATCTGTGTAGTCTTGCTCCAGGTATTTACATGCTCTTAATTTATGTGTTAAAGTTACCTGGTGTGTATTTGTCTAAATAGAATACTGGATCAGAGAACTACATACAAAGGAAAAATAATCAGAATACACCGAAGTGGCGGATAATACTTATCAGAGGAATTGAAATTTAAGAACAAATGCTAATTCTTTAACAGAATAAAGACTAACCAAGTGTATTGGAAATTGGACAAGTATTAATGGATCATAAGTTCCTTGTTACTAAAAGACCTTAGTCTTTTTTGTTTATTGTATCGCAGTGGGGCTTAGCACAACTACTAGTCTTCTGTTATGTACTCCATGTAATTACAGGTTGAAACTCTCTTAACTGGGATTCTCTGGTCCAGCATCACCCATGGTCCTGCATGGATGTTGGAGGACCAGAGAGTCCTGGAGGAGGGCCAGTGGTAAGGATCCCTACAGGGCAGTGGGCTGCCTGCAGGGAGCTGACAGTGCGGCCACTCAGCATATGACAGCGGGGCTGCCTAGCAGAGTTGGGAGACCTGGCGCATGCACAGCTGCCCCGGAAGCCCCTGCGCACAGTACGCAGGACTGCTCACGATGCACAGGACTGCTCACGGAGACAGAGCATGCACGGCTGCTCAGGAAGTGGTTGCCCAGGGAGCCCCTGCATGTGCGGCTGCCTGGAGCCCCACACAAAATCCCTCATCCAGGACCAGTCAGGTCCTGAGGGTGCCAGACAAGGGAGGTCCAACCTGTATTGTATTTCAGCAAAGCTTAACATCATGAAGTGTTCAGTATCTATAGAGATCTCATTTTGTAAACTCTTGCTTATTTTGTTTGTTTCCTCACAGTGTGCATCCTAAATATCCTGAAACAGTACCTGCAGATACAAACAGCAGAGATGAAATACCAAAGAAAAAACTTAAAAGAGCAAGAAAGAATTCTGAGTTGGAAAATGACACAGAGCCTACAGACAATGCAGATACTACTGTGGTGGAAGATGCAGAGGAGAATGGTCCTGATACAGTAAATGGATATTATGATAAAAAGCCAAAGAAGAAAAAACATAAGCAGGAAGAGCAGAAATCTGTATTTTATGAAAGTGACTGTAGTGGTTATCCAAGTGACCATAAAAAGGTTAAGAAAAAGAAAAGAAAACATTGTGATATAGATGAAGAGAGCGAATTGTCTCAATTGTCACAAGAACCCAAAGCCAAAAAGAGAAGGAAATTACAAATGGACTGAAGAGTCCAAAAGTGCAGTGCTTAAATGTAAGATTCTCATCTTCTTCCAGAAGTTCTTAATAAACTTCCAATAAAATAATATTTTCAGTTTGCGTACTTCCAATGTTATTTATTACAATAGTATATAGAGGTTCCAATCAGGATCATTGCTAAGCAATGTTTATATGCTCATACCAATGTTTTCTCTATATTTTTCCATCTAGGTGCAGAATAAATTGTGTTATGTGCACCAAAGCATGTGCTGATCTGCACCACCAGTAGAAACACATGCTGTGAGTGCTCTGCCAATCAGCTGGGTGGCATCTCACGCTGTCTGGGGCGATTGCCCAAGCACTCAGGTTTCAAGGAAGACTGGCTCATACTATAGGTGATGCCTATAGTCAGCATAGGTGATGCCTCTTAGGCCAGGTCTATACTAGACCCAGAAGGTCAGCTTAAGGTACACAACTCCAGCTACATAAATAATATAGTTGGAGTCGACATACCTTATGTAGAGGTTGGCGCCATCTTCAGTGGGCGATGGACAGTATTTGTTCCTGTTGGCTTCCTTTAGTCCTTACAATTATAAGGAGTATCGGCACCGACCAAAGACGCCTTCAGCAATTGATTTAGTGGGTCTTAAATTGACCCAATTTAAGACCCGCTAAATTGAATGCCTGAAGATCGATGTCTGGCATGTAAGTATAGATGTGGCATTACTCTCCAGAGATAAAAGAAGGGGCAGTAAAGAGACAATACATATTCCTGTTTTATGGATGAGGAACAGAGATTAAGTGTTTTGCCCAAAGAAACAGAAGAAGTATTTGGCAGAGATGAGATGTAAACCCAGATGTCTGAGCAGCAGTCAGTGCTTTATCTGGAAGAATGTTTCTTTTGTTCAGGGAAATTAAGTAGGGTACTCAAATGCGGGCTTTAAGTCTTTAAAGTTGTTGGGAAGTATTTTTCATGCCTCTTAAGCAAACTGTTTCTTTAAAAGGAGGTTTAAGGGCTACATTCTAATGAATGTCCAGTGAACCTAGTGCTTAAGTTCACTCTTGAAGCAAATTTCAGAGTGTATAGGCATGCCAGAGAGTACCTGAAGCATTGCAACAAAATGTACAGCGTGCTACTTTAGATGTTTTCCATTTATTTGGAGAACTGGTCATGTTGAATTCCATGAGTGTTTGAGATGGGGAGAGATTAGGTAGGAAAGTTGCACAATAGTTCAGTTCACTCTATTGTGTTACTATGTGGTTCTATTTTCTTGTTTAATTAGCTCTCACTGGACTTCCAAGACTGACAGTTTTGTCCAATTTTAACTCATTACCAGGATTCCTTGTTTTCCATGATTAAAAAATAAAAATTCTCTATTAAACATAAATTAGTTTTTCAATGATTAAAATGAAAAAAAAATAGTTTCCATAGACAATGTGTGCAGGTAAACTGTGAGTATCATTTGGACAGTGCTTTATTGATAAGTTCATGGTTTTTAAGCAAGTTGAAAGCCTACTGGTGCCATCACTCATAATTAGTTAAGTTAGTTAATGCTGAAGGTTCTCCATCGTTGCTGCCCTACACGCCAGTGGGAGTAATAGGCATTAACTAACTATGAGTGATGGCACCAGTAGGCTTTCAACTTGCTTAAAAACTGTAAACTTATCAATAACAAAATAAAATTAATAGAATTGCAATTTGTATTTTACATATATCAAATATTTGTACTCAGTGAAATTTTATGTTTACATTAACATTACTCTCTTTTAGTCAGTCATGGTTGTTAAAATAGAATTAAAGCATTAGTCATGTTTTCGTCTTTCAGACGTTGGCATTGAGCCGAGAAAAGAACCTCAAGGTTGCTGAAACTTCTTTCCCTGTCAGCTGAGTTTAGAGTCAGTTGGAGGAGAACCATTGCATGTTTGCCAGGTTGGAAACACAATCTTCAACAGCCATCAGGGATCCTCCACCCAAATAAGTTTTTGACAATCTCTAAATTCACTGGTCATTCCATATTGCAATTATCAGACAGCTTTAATTGTGATTTCACAATCTATATACAAACAGTACATATTTATATAGGATTAAGTGCACAAACAGCACCGAAAAAATCAATTGCTGGTTGTTCAAAAAGAGTTGGTAAATAATGGGAATACAGTTGATTTGACTTTGGAAGGGCACTACCTCCATTAAAGATCTTACTCCAAAAAAAATCTGACATCCATTTTGTGCATAAGAATTTTTTCATTAACAAACATTTGAATAAAATCTGAAGTCTCGGGGGGTGGTCATATTAGTCTGTAATTTTAAAAACAAGTAGTCCTGTGGCACCTTAGAGACTAACAAAAATATATCTAGTATCATGAGTTATAAAAACAGGAATGATCAAGTCACAATGCATTGTTTCTTTACTGTTGTCCCTGGCTCTTCTGCTTCAGCCTCTTGTTTTTGTTTCGTTTCGTTCTTTTAGTGCTTTCCGTGTGTTCTGCATTTGTTTAGTTTCTAATATAATCTACAGCATTACAAAACAGCACATTACCATCAATGTGAATCTTGTTCTTGAACTCAGTGGTATGGTTTGCAGGGGTGATTTTTAATATTTTCAATGTTTGTATCTTCAGTTACTAAGATTTGACGGGTGAAGTGAAATTTGAGATGCACTAAAACACCAACCTTTATATGCCTTGTATAACCTCTTCAAGCCAGAAACGGTTTATTGGAGTATTTTTACTGGAGTTATGTAAATGTAAAACATATTCAAAAATCAACCACAAGAGGGGGAGGTTGCTTGCTTTGAATAAGTGGCACCAATACTTTCAGTAAAATTTATTTGATGGTTAATTTAGTCTTATTTTTTCATAAAATATAAAAGCTAAAGATTCTCTTTAAAAAATAAATAAATGCAAATTCCTTATTTTTCCATGGCATACTGATTTCTAGAATCCTTGCTGACTCCCATTTTCTAAAAACTTTTGTGAGTTAGTAACTGCTTGGAGTTATTTGTATAAAATGTGTGCTTCTGTCTTAATATTAAAGCCTTTCTTATGCAAGCTGCCAATTTCTACATACTTCTACTACGTGCATAGAATGATTGTAGGACAGTAAGGACCTCAAGAGGTCATCTTCTACAGTCCTCTGTGCTCAAAGCAGGAGTAAGTATTATCTAGACCGTCCCTGACAGGTGTTTGGAGATTAAGAGATTTTTAAGAGCTAGTTAATAAGCAATTTATCCAGTGCTTAACCATTCTGACAATTGGAACATTTTTCCTAACGTCCTAAGTTTTTTCTTGCTGCACTTTAGGCCCATTGCATTTTGTCTTATCCTTAGAGGCTAAAGAGAACCATTTTTCTCCCTCCTTGTAACAAATTTTTATGTATTTAAAAACTCTTATGTCCCCCTTTGGTCTTTTCTCTAGAGTGTAGACTAAGCAAATCAATTTTTTCAATCTTCCCTCATTAGTCAATTTTTCTAGATCTTTAATAGTTTTTACTGCTCTTCTCTGAACTTTATCCAGTTTGTCCACATTTTTCCCAAAATGTGGAGCCCAGAACTAGACACACTATTCCAGCAGAAGATTAATCAACACATAATAGAGCAGACACATTGCTGCTTGTGTCTTGTTTACAACTCTCTTGCTAGTACCTCCCAGAATGTTTGCTTATATTGGTGAAAATGGTAAATAATGGGCATGGTGGACTGAACATGAACAGATACTGCTCAGGTCCTGTAGCAACCTGTGGTTTGGGGCTTGTTCTTTCCTGGGCCTCTTCCATAGATGTCTGTTTCTCTACTACTTTTCCCTTCAATGCACTGGGGAACTTGGATCATTGAACACTAGCAAGCCGGAAACAAAGCTCTCTTTCTTACCACCAGATCTTAAACAAAGGGTCTGAGTATGCAATTCTAAGAGGTTATTTGTTGACTGGTATCACAGGTAACCCCACTGTTGTATTATTTCTATCTTATGTGGCTTGCCTCTTTTCTAGGTTTATCCATTATTTTAATAAAGATATCTAAGGTTTTACTTTTCCCTCAGTGAGTGTCCTTGTCGTCCACCCTAAGACTCCCCAAAAAGATAATGTGAATAGTGTGAATTTTGTGTAGTCCTGATTCTGGGGATAGCTCAATGGTTTGAGCATTGGCCTGCTAAACCCAGGGTTGTGAGTTCAATCCTTGTGGAGGCCATTTAGGGATTTGGGGCAAAAATTCATCAGGGATAGTACTTGGTCCTGCTGTGAAGGCAGCAGACTGGACTCTGACCTTTCAAGGTTCCTTCCAGTTCTAGGAGATAGGCAATCTCCATTATTTAAAAAAAAATTAATCCAGACATTATAAACCTTTAAAAAACTCAGGCATTATAATGTATTTGTAGAATGTTTCTTTGTTATTCTTTGTCTGGTTAGTTTAATCTCATTTTGTGCCTTGGCCTTTCTAATTTTGTTCTTACATACTTGTGCAATTTGTTTATTTTCATCCTTTGTAATTTGACCTAGTTTCCACTTTTTGTAGGACTCTTTTTTGAATCTCAGATAATTGAAGATCTTCTGGTTAAGTCTGGGTGGTCTCTGACCAAACTTCCTATCTTTCCTCCACAGTGGGATAGTTTGCTCTTTTGCCCTTAATATGTCTCTGAAAATCTGCCAACTCTCTTGAACTGCTTTTCCCCCCTTAACTTTGCTTCCCAAGATATTTTATGTACAATTCTGAGTTTGGTCAAGTCTGCCTTCTTAAAATCCATATTTTTAATGTTCTAAGAAATGGAAGGAGAGAAAACACAGACATGAACTCTTTTCCTTTCATGTTCGCTTTCATCCAAGCTGCCTTCCTCTTTAAAATTCGGAACCAATTCCTCCTTTTGATATTTAGCACACACACAAAAAAAAATCTAGAACGTCATCTGCCCTAGTGGCTTTTTACACATTCTGAAATAAAGAATTATCTCCAATCTAGGAACTTATTGGAAGATGTGGATATAGAGACAGTATCTTCCTGATTTGTGGATTAGGGCTGAAGTGGCATCGGTCCTCTTTCAGTCCCCAAACATAGCTTTGTGTGTACTGGGGAAGATGAAATACTAAGTGTTAACTCACATTTTAATTAAGAACACCTAATTTCCCCATGT